GTGTGTGTGTGTGTGTGTGTGTGTGTGTGTGTGTGTGTGTGTGTGTGTGTGTGTGTGCGCCTGTGCATGCTGGGCTGGCCTCCCCCGTGCACACGCTGAGCGTCCATTACTGATGTGTGCGTTTCACTTTGGCCTGATCGAAGTCCATCAAGGAATCTTTGGATCCCATCAGATTGTCCACATGCAGCCATAGTATTGATCCTGCTACACTTACATAGAATCCTTAGCGGCTCGTCCAACAGTTTGTCAGAAAACCCACACACACGTTCAGCCGACCATTATAAAGTATGTTTAACAAATAAAAACATTGAAAAACATCAAGCTTGCTCGTTAGAGTCTGACTGCAGTGTGCCAGATTTGACTGGGCTGCTGTACTACCTCAGGGCCTGGACGCATTGCTGTCATGGATGGAAAAATGAATTCCCGAGTTTATCGAGACACTTTGCAAAGCTTCTGTCTGACAAATGAAGCTCGTTGAAGGACTTGCGATGCAAGCGGACAATCAGCAATTGAAGAAATCTGTCTCCTGGAGTACTGAGACTCCAACCCCACTGAGCTGCTGTGGCACAGATTTATGGCAGACACCCCAAGTGTATTGCTGAACTGGAGGAGTTTTTGCCAAGGGACGTTCTGAAGTTCCTCCGGTCTGATTTGCACCAACAAAAAGGAAAAACAGCTTATTTCGGTCCACAGGATGTCGTCTTTTTGTGTATGGGTTGTGTTGCGGTCAGTTCACACGTGATGCTTCCGCCTCCTCTTTAAAATCAGTGATTCCTCTTTGTGTATCAGCAAACAGGCGCACGCACAGTGAGAGCATGTGTGCGTATTCCTGCGCCCGTCAACTTCCGTTCCCATCAGGACCATGAGATTGTGGGGGCGCTAATTAGCTTAGCAGCCTCTTGTTTTCTTTGCCGGACGTGGGCTTTACTCAGCCTGAAGCCTCCGCAGCCTCTTCCCACTCCCGTTTTCGTAGGACGTAGCTTGATCTCAGTCCCTCTTCTGAATAGAACAAACAAACAAAAAAAAAAGAAAACAGCACTACTCCATTATTAAGTCGCTGCTACCAGTATCGCCCGAAATGAGTTTGTCGTCACCTTGATTGCAGCTGCAGCAATCCTTCTCAACTCCCTAATCACGACCTTGTGTGGACATTTAGCTTGTCGTTCCAAAGTTGAGTAACACAAATGGAACATTATTGGTTAGATGAGCAAAAGGCTTTCTGGTGGACGGCAGCCATTATTGGGAAAATGTGGCGCATCGGTGGAAGTGCTTGTTCCATATTTTTGAGAACCAGCAGAAGCATTTTGTAGTCATGAAAAGTCCATCGTTGAGCTTGAGAACTCTTGCTGCTCCAATTTGCATTGCCTGATCCCGCTATTGATTTTTGCTCAGTAGGACAGGATCCTTTGTCATCATGTAGCCTGATCCCAGCCTGTCCGGAAGGCTTCTCTCCTCCCAGAGAACAAGTAGCACGGTCAATATTCTATTTGTGATTCAAGATTTTTTTTTTTGGGGTGAGTCACCAAGCTCATTGATCAACTGAAACACTTGTGACACTTTATTGACGAATGGTTGACAAGCTCCTGAGTGCCCGTGTCACCTTTGACTCAGGTGGACTCAGCCACACGCGCGCACACACGTGCACGTTTTACAAGTTGCAGTAACTCGAGCTGCCTCACATGATGATGTCACACATGTCAATTGTTGTAGATTAAGCCTTTCATGCACCCTGTAACCCGATAACACGATCAGCTGTCCGCTGCGGTAACCGATGTCCCTGAAAAGGTTAATTAGAAGTAATCCCTTGGCATAGGCTTCCTTGTTTGGGAGGATGTCTTACCCATAATATGGACACGGGCATAGTTGTAGAGCTTTAGACTTATAAGATTTCTATCCAAAGGACTTGGTTGCATCAAGGTGAAAGAAAGAAAAATCAGTGTGGAATGTCGCAGATGATTCGTGGAAAGGGAATGGGGAGGTGTCGCACGCAACGCTCCTTGGCCCTCAGCATGCTCCCGTTTTTTTGTCTCGGAAGACGTGAAGTCTGTGATGGCGGCGACGACGGCAAGTGTTTGAAGTGACGAGACCGTAGCCCTTGTCATTGGCGTGACCGCTTGGCCCTCACGAGGCTCCCGGCGCGTTTCCCATCTGCTCCTGTTGTCATGGAAACAAGGGGAACGGAGGAAGTGGGAACGAAGACAAGGTTGAGTAGGAACGTCAGTCACGCACGCGGACACTTCCTCCAGGCGGCCGGATGATCGGTGCGGCTCAAGGCGCGAGGAGTTGAAATCCGACCCGTGCGCCCACAAGGCATCGCGGGCAGCGTACGCGTCGGATAAAAGATTGACAAGCGTTAAGACCGACACGAGCGAGCGGCCGTCTTGGTTGGCGTGGCGCTGGTCAGGACGCGTGGCCGTCTGCTGACGGGAGCGTCTATTAATAGCGCGTGTTCCTGGAAAACATGATTTCATGCCACAATGCAACCACTTGGCGCGATGGGGCAGCGGGTCACATGACCGCCCAAAGTTTGGCGCCTTATCGGTGAGGACTACTTGAAGTTCCTCCTGGGTATTCTACGCTGAGAGAAATTAAGAATATTCCATGTGCAAAACTCAGACCGATTTATAATTCCTTTTCAATGGGCTCGAAATTGCCCAGCCGATCAGTTTGTCCCCTCAGGCGACATTTTTGTGACTAACGCGCATTACGGTCAAAGAGTGAAGCGTCGTCGTCGTCAGCTTGCTCCGTTTTTGAGATGCATAATTTCTATGAGAAAAATTCGACAACACACCGCCAAACAAAAATGTTCTGCATCGATTATTTATGTGCCGTCTGCCAAATAGGGGAAGGATATGTTCCAGCCAAAGATAGTTGACCAAAAATACATAATTTGATAGAAATGAATGAATATTTTCTGAGCAATTTAGTGAGCATAAAGGATCTCTTACAGCACCATTGTTGGGATGGTCAATTTGAATCTCTTTGTTTTTAAAAAGGGACACTTTTTAAAAACAATATCCGAATTAGCTGAAAGCTAAATTTGCATCGGTCGGCGCAGCTATGCTATGATCTGCTAAGATATGCTATGGCAAGCTAACAAAATAACCAGAAGGGATGTTCGTTCGGAGCATTTTATTAGGCCCACGGCGAGACGGCAAGTGGAGGTAGTGCAAGGACGACGATGCAAGTGAGTGCAGTGAAAACATTTGCAGACAAAACCTCAAAAGTGCTCCTTGATGTTTTATTGATGTTGTTCTGCTCGTCCTCGCCACAGCATTTAACAATGAGAAGCGAACCCGGCAGGCGGAGCTTCTATTTTCAGCCGAGCTATTGGGACGCTTGCTCCGTGCGCGGCATCAAGGCATCTGCAGCAAGCGTTCTTAAAGGTACTCGCGGGCTTTTAAAGGTTTACGCAGCAAACACCCCCCCCCCCCAAATTGTTTGTTGGCCATCTTTGGTGATTTGACTCGTCGTCCATCCGGTCACAGTGCACAGATCGGTTCTTGGCTGTCATTTTGAAGGCAAAGCAAAGGTGTCGATCAGGAGTCGGGATGTGGTGGAAGTTGTAATGTTGGTAGTGGGAGTGGGGGGGGGGGTGCAGGGTGTGGAAGATGATGGGGCCGTGAGATAAAATAGTGGCACCGGTGTAGTTGTCTGAGTTCCCTTGCTAGGGTAACACGAAGGACGTGTCTGGAAACTTGGCGTCCCGCCGGAGCGTTTGCCGCGCCTCGGGCTCCAGAAGCAAACCCGGCCCCAGGTGCCCTTGAACCGCCCCTGCCACCCTGACCCGCCCGTTCTGCTGCTCTCTGACTGGCTCCAGAAAGACCACGTGTCTGTTGGTACTGACCTTTCGGCCCGGGCCCTCGGTGGTGGCGGGCGGGGTGGGACTTAGGATGGAGGACTGGGCACTCTCCAGCCCGGCCTCGTTGGCAGCGGGGCCGGCCCCTTTGTTGCAGGGCCTGCACCGGCACGGTGTCAGGTACAGGTACATGAGGACCAGGATCAGGCTGACCACGCACCCGAGCAGGGTCGTGAACCCGGTGTTGAAGGAGTCGTGGTCCTGGTTGGCGTGTTGCATCACCACCGTCACGTTCACTTCCTGCGTCTCGTTGCGCCGGCCCACCGTGTCACGCGCCATGCACCAGTACACCCCGGAGTCCTCCGCTCGGGCAGCCACGATCTCCAGGCTCCCGTTGACGAACATCTTTAGCGAGCCGTTGTTGCCAGGTGGCGACACGTACTCCTGGTGCGGGGAGACCCAGAAGAAGGTGACGTGCTTCCCTGTCAGCGTGGTGCTACAGTGGAGCAGCGCCGGCCGACCCGCGTTCACCGCCACGTCGCTCGACTGCGGCGTCACGGCGGTAGCGTTGCAAGGTTGGGGGAAGTTAGGGAGGAAGCGCGCGGAGAGTCCCTTCACCCCGTACATCAGGCAGGTGTAGTCCCGCCGGAATTCCGTCACCGGCGGGTAGCCTCGAAGCTCCCACAGGCGGAACATTCGGTACATGGCGCAGTCACATACCAGCGGGTTGGCGTGAAGGTAAAGGGTCTGCTGCAGTCTACCCGGCAGGCTGGTGAGGTTCTCCAGGGGCAGCCGGGGCAGGCGATTCGAGGACAGGTCCAGCAAGAGCAGCCCGGGGTGCTCTCGAATGGACAAGAAGGGAAATTCCAGGAGTCGGTTGTGGCTGAGGTAGAGCCTGCGGAGGGCGCCCAATCCCGCCACGGCGTTGCGCTCCACCTTCACCAGCAGGTTGTTGAAGAGCAGCAGCTCCTCCAGGCCGGGAAGGTCCCGGAACGAGGCCTCCTCTACGGCCCGCAGCTTATTGGACGACAAGTCCAGGTGTCGCAGCAGCGCACCGGAGGAGTTTCGGAAGGCGCCCGGCAGGATGGCCGTCAGACGGTTGTGCGCCAAGCGTACGGTGTGCAGACGCAGCAGCCCCTCAAAGCTCCCCCCCCGAAGCGCCGCTAGACGATTGTGGCTTAGGTCCAAAGTGACCACGGAG